AAAGAAAACCCTGGGCCTACGCTCTTTCCGGGAAAAAAACGAAGATGAAAGGGAGGAGGAGGAATGGGAGGAGGAGGAGGAATAAGAGAGAAGCAGGAGGAAGAGAAGGAGGAGGAAAACGAGGAATGCGGCACGAGGGAGATGAGGATGATAAGGAGGAACAAGAGGAGGAGGAGGAGGAGGAGGAGGAGGAGGAGGAGGAGGAGGAGGGGGAGGAGGAGGAGGAGGAGCAGGAGCAGGAGCAGAAGCAGGAGGAGGAGGACGAAGAGGAGGAGAAGGAGGAGAACGGAATAGGCAAGAGAGGAGGAGGGAAATAACGGCCGATGGCAACGAGGATGATACATCGTGCTTTCGATAGACGTTGGTGTGGGGGATGTGTGGGTGTGGGTGTGTGTCGTGAGTGTACGTTGTTGCGTTGGATGTGTGTTGCTGTTTGAGGTGAACTGTGCTGTTGTGACTTGTTTGTGCAAAAACAACGCAACTTCCACATCACAAAGAAATAACGGGCACCAATAATTCCAACCGTGGCCCTCATGTTGACTCCCAGGATGAATGTGCGACCGTCTGACGTTTATTTGATGTCTGGATCTTCTTAGAATGCTGCACACAAGGAATCCTAGTGTAGCCCCGAAACGGCTGGTTGAAAAAGGTACCAGTTGGATTGTTGGCCGGTTGAGAAGTGTCCCAGTCGGTTGTAATTGGTCCCAGTTGGTTGGGATTGGTCCCACATGCGGTTCCAACCACCCACACACCACGGCGCCGGCGCCGGCGCTGGCGCTGGCGGCGACCATCAGCGCCGACGGCGGGGACGCAGCGATGATGACCAGAGAGGGCCCAGAAGCCGCAGAGGAGAAACACAAATCGCCATATCGAGCCCTCGCCCCCCAAAAGCCACCGAGAGGCCCTTAAGAAGGTCCAGGAGGCTTCACACATGCTTCTCAGACGCCCCCGAGACCCCTCTGACGAGACCTCAAGAAGCATCCATTTGAACTCTGACCCAAAGCCAAAACACGGTGGCGGGAAGACCCGAAGGCCACACCACTACCACCACCACCACAAATCACCACACCACCACCACCGCCGCCACCACCACTACCACCACCACAACCGCCACAACCCACCACCACCGCTACCACCACCATCACCACAAACACCTACACCGCCACCACCACCGAAAACGCCACCACCACCACAACACACCACAACCCAACACAACCACCACCACCATCACCACAAACTACCACACCACCACAACCATCACCCCAACCGCCACCACCACCACCGCCACCACAACCCACCACCACCGAAATTATCACCACCACAACCAGAAACCACCACACCATCACCACCACCACCACCGCCACCACCACCACCTGCCACCACAGCCACCACAACAAGCACTACCACCACCACCAACCACCAAACCACCACCACCACCAAAAGCACCATCACCACCACAGCCCACCACCACCACCACCTCAGAGAGGCCCCAAGAGACGCCCAAAACTTCGCTGGCCCTACGCGACCTTGTTATTTACCGCAAATCATTTCGCTGGCCCTACGCAAGTCAAAGCTGGGGATTAACCGACTAACAACATGATCGACCCACGAACCCAGGAATATAGAAATGTAAGGCATGGCAACGTTTCAAAGACACTTGATTGGGCGACGGGCAAATGCAGTGCTGAATGTACAGATCTTGATGTACTGTGCCGAGGGCTGTGCTGTGCTGGCCGTGCTGAACTGCGATGTGCCATGCCGCGATTGTGCTCTGTATAGCGTTGTGGATCGAGTCCTCCCTGGCATCCGAGTCCTGACCGAACTGATCTGGATCTTAAGCTCGAGCTGCCTGAGCAGATGGTAGCTGCCCCAGAACTAATCGACAGAGGGGACATGTCCCAAGGGACGCGCCAGGCGGCGTGCCAGGGGACGTGCCATGTGAACGCACCGCGGGACGTGCCATGGGGACGCGCTACGGAACGTGCCGCGGGACGTGCCAGGGGACGCGCCGCGCGACGTGCCAGGTGGACTCGCCAAGGAACGCGCCAAAGAACGTGCCAAGATGTAATGTTGAACGTATCGATCTTGATGTACCGTGCCGACGGCTGCGCTGTGCTGGCCGTGCTGAACTGCGATGTGCCATGCCGCGATTGTGCTCTATATAGCGTTGTGGATCGAGTCCTCCCTGGCATCCGAGTCCTGACCGAACTGATCTGGATCTTAAGCTCGAGCTGCCTGAGCAGATGGTAGCTGCCCCAGAACTAATCGGCAGGGGGACATGGACGCGCCGCGGAACGTCCCAAGGGACGCGCCAGGCGACGTGCCAGAAGACGTGCCATGGGCACGCACCGCGGGACGTGCCAAGGGGACGCGCTACGGAACGTGCCAATGGACGTGCACCGAGCGACGTGCCAGGGGGACTCGCCACGGGACGCTCCGCGGAACGTGCCAGGCACCATGCCAAGCTGCAATGCTCAAGGTATCGATATTGATGTACCGTGCCGAAGGCTGTGCTGTGCCTGGGCGACCTGGACACGTGAAAACACGCGTTTCGCTCAAGACGTTCTCAGCACATCCTCACGCTAGACATCCGCCTGGGCAACCTGGACACGTGCAAACAAGCGTCTCGATCGAGACTTCCTCGACACATCCTCATGCTAGACATCCGCCTGGGCGACATGGACACGTGAAAACAAGCCTCTGGTTCGAGAGATCCTCAACAAATCCTCATGCTAGACATCTGTCTGGGCAACCTGGAGGCGTGAAACCAAGCGTCTCGCTCGAGACATCCTCAAGACCTGGGCACGTGAAAACAAGCATTTCACTTGAGAGATCCTCTGAATTCAGGCTCCCAGGAGATGACAATCTTTAACACAAAACAAGCGTTTCGCTCGAGACATCCTCAACAAATTCTGAAACACAAGCGTTTCGCTAGGGACATCCTCAAATTTTAATTCGCCGGCACGCGACCTCGTTATTTCTCGCAAAAGAAATTCGCCAGCCCTACAGCCGTCAGATCCGGGGGCAAACAGCTAAAAGAGAACCCCTGGGCCTCAGCCCTTTCCGGGAAACATGATGGACCCACGAACCCGGAAAGGGATATAGACATTTGGAGCACGGTCACGTTTTCACGATACCCAACTGGGCGACACCTCAAGAAACATCCCACGAAACACCCCGCGAAACATCCCACGAGACACCTCACGAAACATTCCACGAGACACCTCACGAAACATTCCACGCGACACCCCGCGAAACATTCCACGAGACACCCCACGAACAGGCAACCACTCAACCAAAGCACATCGCGGACGAGGACGACGACGGCATTCCACGAGACACCCCACGAAACATTCCACGGGAGTGCGACTGGGTGTGGTCGTGCTGTGGTGTGGTCGTGCTGGGGTGTGGTCGTGCTGAGGAGTGGTCGTGCTGGGGTGTGGTCGTGCTGGGGTGTGGTCGTGCTGGGGGGTGGTCGTGCTGGGGGGTGGTCGTGCTGATGGGGTGGCCGTGCTGGGGGGTGGTCGTGCTGGGGCGTGGTCGTGCTGGGGCGTGGTCGTGCTGGGGCGTGGTCGTGCTGGGGCGTGGTCGTGCTGGGGTGTGGTCGTGCTGGGGTGTGGTCGTGCTGTGGTGGTCGTGCTGGGGTGTGGTCGTGCTGGGGTGGGTCGTGCTGGGGCGGGGTCGTGCTGGGGTGTGGTCGTGCTGGGGTGTGGTCGTGCTGGGGTGTGGGTGCGTGCTGGGGTGTGGTCGTGCTGGGGTGTGGTCGTGCTGGGGTGGGCTCGTGCTGGGGTGGTCGTGCTGGGGTGTGGTCGTGCTGGGGTGTGGTCGTGCTGGGGTGTGGTCGTGCTGGGGTGTGGTCGTGCTGGGGCGGGGTCGTGCTGGGGTGTGGTCGTGCTGGTCGTGCATGGTCGTGCTGGGGTGTGGTCGTGCTGAGGCGGCCCGCACCCTGTGATTTATCGATCGGGATTTCAAAAACAAGCGTTTCGCCTGAGACATCCTCAAAATTTAATCCGCCGGCCTCCTTCGACCTCGATATTTATCAGGGAAAGAATCCGCCGGCCTCCTTCAAGTTGGGCACGGGGGACTATGTTTACATACTAAAAGAGAACCCTGGGCCTGAGCCCTTTCCGGGAAAAAAACATGGGCCAGCGCCCTTTCCGGGAAAAGCACGACTAAGCAGGTGTGTATGTCATGTCTATGTATAGTGCAGCCTGTTGCTCGTCGAGCAATAAGAAGACAGCGAACGGCGGCGAGAAAAAAATCGCAGGCGCCGGCGGAACGAAGGAGAGGTTTCCAACTCGCAGATATCCGACGACGACGACCTACTCTGGAACTCATAGTCATGGGAGGGGGTTATACTTCTGCGGCGTCTAACGGGCCTCGTCAAATAAGATTGTGGGGGGGTCCATATTGGACCATTTGTTGCAGCGCTCTTGAGGGGGGTCCCTGACGCGCTGTCAAACACTTTGTTGACCACCCCCGCTATTGTGAGATTCGGAATAGTTGCTCCAATCCCGGCGGTTTCATCAATTTCGCCCTGCGGGGCTAGTTGTCGGGACGGGCCCAACGAGACACAAAAACACATCTAAGGCCAGAAGCTACCCTTCGGGAACGGGTCGGGATGTCGCGCATGGAAGCAATCACATCGTCGGATGTCTGGGATATTGGCGCGGGCGGGGAAGAGGGAAGAGAGAGGAGACGATGGGGAAACGTAGAGGGGGAGGGACTGGCTTGAGGGGAGAGAACATCGACGTGGAATCGGCGATACATCGCCGATACATCGGCGATATGCCTCATATCAGTGAAACCGCGCGTTCCTCGGCGGAGTGGGCTATCGGGCCCCTTATCTGCGATGGTTGGGCTTTTGGCGGTCGATGTATCCCAACCTGAGCCTATCATCCCGTAACGTGGCGCCTGAAGGGAAGAAGGATGAGAAAGGTGGATGAGGGCGAGGGCGGACCCTCCCCGACCCCTAAAGGAGATGCGGCGGGGCGCCGCGCTCACGCGCCCACGTGCGCAAGTTTGCGGGATGCCTCGCGCGCGCACCAAGGGAGGAGCGGGAGCTGAGGAAGGACGGACGGACGGACGCTCGCGTGCGCGCCGGGGCGCGGTCCCTCTGGGCACGGAGCGGTGGCGCCGTGGCGCCAAGATACTGTGGCGTATGGAAAAGCATGCATTCGAGAGACATAAACATGACGACCCACAAACCCAGAAAGGAATATAGACCTGTAACACATGGCTGCGTTTTTCAAAGACACCTGATTGGGTGACGGGCAAATGCAATGCTGAGTGTATCGATTTTGATGTACCCTGCCGAAGGCTGTGTGACCGAACCGATCTGGATCTTAAGCTCGAGCTGCCTGAACACATAGTAGCTGCCCCTGAGCTCATGGACAAGGGAACATGCCAGGAGGACGCGCCGCGAAACGCCACAAGGGATGCGCCAGGCGACGTGCCAGGGGACGTGCCATGGGGTCGCACCGCGGGACGTGCCAAGGGGACGCGCTACGGAACTTGCCAATGGATGCGCCACGGGAAATGCCAGGGGACGCGCCACGCGACGTGCCAGGGGGGCTCGCCAAAGGACGCCCCGCGGAACGTGCCAAGGAACGTGCCAAATTGCAATGCTGAGTGTATTGTTCTTGATGTACCGTGCCGAAATCTGTGCTGTGCTGCGCCGTGCTGAATTGCGATGTGCCATGCCGCGACTGTGCTCTATACAGCCTCGTGGATCGAGTCCCTTGCATGCGAGTCCTGACCGAACCGATCTGGATCTTAAGCTCGAGCTGCCTGAACACATAGTAGCTGCCCTAGAGCTAATTGACAAGGGAACATGCCAGGAGGACGCGACGCGGAACGCCACAAGGGATGCGCCAGGCGACGTGCCAAGGGACGTGCCATGGGGACGCAACGCGGGACGTGCCAAGGGGACGCGCTACGGAACGTTCTGGGGACAAGCGTTTCGCTCGAGACATCTTCTCAAAATCCAATAAAATCCTGGCAGAACAAACGAATTAGTCTAGACATACTCAAAATCCCTGCGCGCGGGACGCGGCACACGCGAGACATCCTCTGAATTCCTGCGAGCGGGACGTGAAAGCAAGCATTGCGCCTGAGACATCCTCTGAATTCTGGCCCCCCACGAGGCCCCCGCTCGAAACATTCCCCAACTTTGCAAAACCAGCGTTTCGCTCGAGACATCCCCAACAAATTATGAGACGAAGGAGAGGAAACAAAAAAAAACGTTTCGCTCGAGACACCCTGTCAAAATACAAAGAAATCCTAGCCGAACAAAAGAATTATTCTAGACATCCTCAAAATCCCTGCGCGCGGGACGCGGCACGCGCGAGACATCCTCGGAATTCCTGCGAGCGGGACGTGAAAACAAACATTGCGCCTGAGACATCCTCTGAATTCTGGCCCCCCACGAGGCCCCCGCTCGAAACATTCACCAACTTTGCAAAACCAACGTTTCGCTCGAGACGTCCTCAACAAATGATGAACAACAAACGTTTCGCTCGAGACAGCCTGTCAAAATCCAAGGAAATCCTGCTAAGATTGACGCACAAAACCTTGGTTCGGACGCCAAACGGCTACGAACTAGTCGAGACATCCTCGAAATTCCTGCGCGCGGGACGCGGCACGTACGAGACATCCTCTGAATTCCTGCGAGCGGGACGTGAAAACAAGCATTTCGCCTGAGACATCCTCCGAATTCTCGCCCCCCCCACAAGGCCCCCGCTCGAGACTTCCTACAATTTTGCAAAACCAGCGTTTCGCTTGAGACATCCTCAATAAATTATGAACAGCAAATGTTTCGCTCGAGACAGCCTGTCAAAATCCAAGGAAATCCTAGCAAAACAAACGAATTAATCAAGATATCCTCCAAATCCCTGCGCGCGGGGCGCGGCACGCGCGAGACATCGTCGGAATTCCTGCGAGCGGTACGTGAAAACAAGCATTTCGCCTGAGACATCCTCTGCATGCTGGCCCCCCACGAGGCCCCCGCTCGAAACATTCCCCAACTTTGCAAAACCAACGTTTCGCTCTAGACATCCTCAACAAATTATGAAAAACAAGCGTTTCGCTCGAGACAGCCTGTCAAAATCCAAGGAAATCCTGGCAAAACAAGCGAATTCGTCGAGACATCCTCGAAATTCCTGCGCGCGGGACGCGGCACGCGCGAGACATCCTCGGAATTCCTGCGCGCGGGGCGTTTTTCCGCGTCGCGGTCGGGGTTCCACACGTCGGTTTTTGTTCGAAGATTCTGCTAAAAGTGCCCCGCACCCTCTTTTTCACAAAGGAAGACGGTGGTCCGCGGACCCCGTTATTTATCGAGGATCCGAGATGGGGGGTCGACTTTCCTCGAGCGGGCACGCGCGAAACGCATTTGTTCCACGCTGAATTGGACTTTACTTCGTTTTTTATCAAACGGAATTCCGCCGGCCCACCTCCCGCATGGCACTGGGGACAGATTACCATCCTAAAAGAGAAAGAACCCTGGGCCGGCGCCCTTTCCGGGAAAAACATGGTCGACCCACGAAACTCGAAAGGGATTTAGAACTGCGAGGAATGGAGACCTTCCCAAGCACCTCAATAATGGGCGGTGGTAGCGCTGAAGATTTCGATGGTGATGACGCTGTGCTAGGGGCTGTGTTGCACTGTTCTACCTTTCCTGACATGAACGGGAAGCGCGTGAAAGGGAAGAGTTACGCAAGAACTTGCAGCATCATCGCGATCAAATGTAGTACAGGCGAGCTCTCCGAACGCTCACAAGGGATACGTATGGACACGCGCCCCCCGAACGTTCACAAGCATATTCCTGAGTATCCTCACCACTCCTCCGCATGAGGAAGACGACGGCGAAGACGACGACAGGGGAAGAAGGGAGAGGAGGAGGAGGAGGAGGAGGAGGAGGAGGAGGAGGAGAAGGGGAGGAGGAGGATGAGGATGAGGAGGAGGAGGAGGAGGAGAAGGAGGAGGAAGAGGAGCAGGAGAAGGAGCAGCATCAGCAGCAGCAGCAGAAGAAGAGGTGAGGAGGACGAGGAGGAGGGGGAGGAGGAGGACGAGGAAGAGGAGAAACAGGAGCAGGAGGAGGAGGAAAAGGAGGAAGAACAGGAGGGGGAGGAGGAGTTGGAGGAGAAAGAGGAGGAAGAGGAAGAGGAGAAGACCGACGAGGAGGAGGAGGAGGAGGAGGAGGAAGGAGAAGCAGGAAGAAGGCGAGGAGGAGGAGGAAGATGAGGAAGAGGACGAGGACGAGGAGGAGGAGGAGGAGGAAGAAGAACAGAAGGAGGAGGAGGAGGAGGAGGAGGAAGAGAAGGAGGAGGAAAAGGAGGAGGAGGAGGAGGAAGAGGAGGAGGAAGAGGAAACGTTGGGAGGATGTCTCGAGCGAAACGCTGATTTTTCAACGAAAGTGTTTAAAACACTTGGTTTTTCAATAGTTTCGCTTCTTGGGCCATCTTGGGGGTCATCCGAGATCGCTCCGAACAGATGCCTTACAAGAGCTCTGTCGGCATCCCATGTTTTCGAGGATGTCTCTGGCGAAACGCCCATTTTCGAGGATCCGAACATTAGGCGAGCGATTTCGAGATCCCGATGGTTGGAGGATGTCCAGAGCGAAACGCCCAGTTTTAGCAAAAGACGTTTTAAGATACGACCCCCAACTTCACGATTTGGGGAGGATGTCTCGAGCGAAACGCTCGTTTTCAAAACCTTTCTTGACATGAACGGGAAGCGCGTGAAATCAAAGAGCTTGGCAAGAACGTGCACCAACATCAAGTTCGCATGTCGCGTAGGCGCTCTTCCCGAACGTCCACAAAGGGTACCAGGTGGACTTCGCTATCCGCGCCAGTTCAGACGTGCCGCTGACCCCGAACGTCCGCAAAAAGAACCAGATTGAGTTCACGATCCGCGCAAATTCCGACGTGCCGCTCACTCCGAACGTCCACAAAAGATACCAGACGGAATTCACAATCCGCGCAACTTCAGTCACCGCTCACCGCGAACGTCCACAAAAGATACCAGGCAGAGTTCACTACCCGCGCGAGTCTGGACGTCGTTTTTACCCCGAACGCCCACAAAAGATGTCAGGTGGAGTTCACTTTCCGCGCGAGTTCAAAACTTGTTGGAGGATGTCTCGAGCGAAATGCTCTGCTTCTAACAAAACTGTTGAAAACCCATCGGTTTTTCAATGATTTCGCCTTCGAGGACCCGCCCGAAGGCAATTGTTGGAGGATGTCTCGAGCGGAACGCTGATTGTTCAACGAAAGTGTTAAAAACACGTTGGTTTTTCAATCTCATCTTGGAGGTCATCCGAGATCGCTCCGAAAAGATGCCTTATAAGAGCTCTGTCGGCATCCCATGTGTTCGAGGATGTCTCGGGCGAAAGCCCCATTTTTGCAGATCCGAAGATTCCGCGAGCGATTTCAAGATCTCCATGTTTGTGAGGATGTCTCGGGCGAAATCGTCATTTTTAATATAAAAAGCCTTAAACGATAGCCTCCAACATCTCCATTTTGTGAGGATGTCTCGGGCGAAATGGCCATTCTGGGGAATCCGCCTGGAATCCGCCTGGGGCTGACGGAGGAGCAAACCCGAGCCCTTCCCCCCTCTGCACTCCCCCCAGGTGATAAATATTTCCCTCCGGGTCTGCACCAACGTCCATCGCGCGACTCTTCGAGTCCTAGCGCGCTTCCCGTCGTCCGCCACCTCGCGATCCGAGGGCGATCCCGCCACCACTCCCCCCCTGGACCCCCCCACTTGATAAATATTTCCCCTCCGGGCCCGTATACAACGTCCATCGCGCGACTCTTCGAGTCTTAGCGTGCTTCCCGTCATCCGCCAGGCTCTGAACCACGAGGCGGCCCCGCACGTTCCCCCTACAGACCTCCCCCAGTTGATAAATAAATCCCTCTGGGCAAACAGACGTGACGTCCATCGCGACACTCTTCGAATCTTGGCGCGCTTCCCGTCATCCGCCGGCCCTCTTCCAATCAAAACCGGGGGAAACAAACAAAAAGAGAACCCTGGGCCTGAAGCCCTTTCCGGGAAAAACAAGCGTTTCGCTCGAGACATCCTCAAAATTTGATTCGCCGGCCCTCTTCCCACTCGTTATTTTTCGCAAAAGAAATCCGCCGGCCCTCTTCCCGTCAGACCCAGGGGTAAACAGCTAGAAGAGAACCCTGGGCCTACGCCCTTTCCGGGAAAAAGACGAAGGGGGAGGAGGAGGAGGAGGAGGAGGAGGAGGAGGAGGAGGAGGAGGAGGAGCAGAGGGAGAGGGCGACGGAAACAAGGAGAAGGAGGAAGGGAGGTGTCTGCTGCCTCCGTCGTCGCCGTGCCCTCACTCTTTACGAAAGAACGAACTGCTCAGCCCCCCAGGCGACGTTGGCCAGGGTCGGGTTCCGTGACAACCCAGACAACGCCCCTAGGCCTCCAAGTCTCGAGAGGCGAAGAAAGCAAAGATCTTCGACTCTGGAGGGTACAATTTACATGGGGGATGGCTTCCAACCGGCACCCTGGGGGGCACCCTGGGACGCAGGCAGCGGGCGGGCACCTGGACAGAGTTCTCCGCTTAGGCTCGGAGGAGGCCCGACGAAGGCAGCGTCGTGCCCCCCAGGCCCCAAACCCCGGCGTAATCACACCCCTTGTGGTCGCCGAGAGACATGATCGACCCACGAACCCGGAAAGGAATATAGAAATGCAACGCATAGCAACGTTTTCAAAGACACCTGATTGGGTGACGGGCAAGTGCAATGCTGATTGTATCGATAATGATGTACCGTGCCGAGGACTGTGCCGTGCTGCACCGTGCTGAATTGCGATGTGCCATGCCGCGGTTGTGCTCTATAGCGTCGTGGATCGAGTCTTCCTTTGTATCCGAGTCCTGACCGAACTGATCTGGATCTTAAGCTCGAGCTGCCTGAACACATAGAAGCTGCCCCAGAGCTAATTGACAGGGGGACATGCCAGGAGGACGCGCCGCGAAACGTCCCAAGGGACGCGCCAGGCGACGTGCCAGGGGACGTGCCATGGGGTCGCACCGTAGGACGTGCCAAGGGGACGCGCTACGGAACGTTCTGGGGACAAGCGTTTCGCTCGAGACATCCTGTCAAGACCCTCATTCTAGACATCCGCCTGAGCGACCTGGACAAGTGAAAACAAACGTTTCGCTCAACACATCCTCAACACATTCTCATGCTAGACATCCGCCTGGGCAAACTGGACACGTGAAAACAAGTAGTGCGCTCGAGACATCCTCAACACATCTTCATGTGAGACGTCCGCCTGGGTGACCTGGGCACGTGAAAACAAGCGTTTCGCTCCAGGCGTTTTCAACACCTCCTCATGCTAGACATCCGCCTTGGCGACCTGTACACGTGAAAGCAAACGTCTCGCTCGAGACATCCTCAACACATCTTCATATTAGACATCCGCCTGGGCGACCTGGACACGTGAAAACAAGCGTATCTCTCGAGACATTCTCAACACATCCTCATGCTAGGCATCCACCTGGGCAACCTGGACACGTGCAAACAAGCATCTCGATCGAGACTTCCTCAACACCTCCTCATTCTAGACATCCGCCTGGGCGACGAGGACGCGTGAAACCAAGCGTCTCGCTCGAGACATCCTCAACAAATCCTGGCGCTTGACCTCTGCCTGGGCAACCTGGAGGCGTGAAACCAAGCGTCTCGCTCGAGACATCCTCAAGACCTGGGCACGTGAAACCAAGCATTTCACTTGAGAGATCCTCTAAATCCTGGCCCCCAGGAGAGGACAATCTATAACACAAAACAAGCGTTTCGCTAGAGACATCCTCAGCAAATTCTGAAAAACAAGCGTTTCTCTAGGGACATCCTCAAATCTTAATTCGCCGGCCCTCTTCCCACTCGTTATTTATCGCAAAAGTAATTTCGCCAGCCCTCTTCAAGTCAAAACCGGGGGTAAACCATCTAAAAGAGAACCCTGGGCCGACGCCCTTTCCGGGAAAAAAACATCCTCCCTCCCTCCCTCTCCCTCCTCTTCCCGGCGCCTTCGCGCGCCTGTCCGACCACGAAGACGACCTGCCCCCCCCCTCCCTCGGCGCGCGGACGCAGCGGCGACGACGACGGCGACGGCGGCCGAACCACTCACACGTTGTCGTCGTCATCGTCGTCGTCGTCATAGTCGTCGCCGCCACCGCCGTCGCTGCCGCCGCCGCCCCCGCCGCGCCCGCCGCCCCGACGCGCCGGCGAGGCTCGAGGCTCGAAAACTTTGTTTTCGCACTCTTCGGCCGCCAGCGGTCGTCCTGGGCCGTCCGAGGACGGGCCCCGTATGAGTGGTCCGGGAACGACGACGACGACGACGACGACGACGACGACGACGACGACGACGACGACCACGACGACCACGACGACCACGACGACCACGACGACCACGACGACCACGACGACCACGACCACGACGGCGACCGAAACCCGCGGAGACTGCCCTGGAACACTTCTGGCCCACGGCTGCCCGCGGCCCTCGGGGGCCGGAGCGGCCCCGAGCTGGGGCCGAAGGCTGCGAGAGACGTCCTCGAGCCGCGCGCCTCGAGTGGCGAAGCTAGGGGGGAGGAAGGGAGGGCAGAGAGGGAGGGCAGAGAGGGAGGACAGGAAGGGCGGAACGGCGAAAGTGGGAGGAGGAGAAGGAGGAGGACGACGAGGAGGAGGAACAGGGAGGAAGGGAGCTAGGCACGAGGAGGAGGAGGAGGAGGAGGAGGAGGATTTTAAACATTCACCGTGCCAAGACGCATACGTGGGTGGTGGGGCCACGAAACGTGTGAGGGGTGCGCCGAAATGGGGCGAGGCCGCCATGCGAACTTTGCCACTGGGGCCTTCGGTGGAGCTCCCTATGGGGCCGCGAAACGTGTGAGGGGTGCGCCGAAATGGGGCGGGGCCGCCATGCGAACTTTGCCGATGGGGTCTTCGGTGGAGCTCCCTATGGGGCCACGAAACGTGTGAGGGGTGCGCCGAAATTGGGGCGGGGCCGCCATGCGAATTTTGCCACTGGGGCCCTCGGTGGAGCTCCCCATGGGGCAACGAAACGTGTGAGGGGTGCGCCGAAATGGGGCGGGGCCGCCATGCGAACTTTGCCACTGGGGCCTTCGGTGGGGCTCCCTATGGGGCCGCGAAACGTGTGAGGGGTGCGCCGAAATGGGGGGCGGGGCCGCCATGCGAACTCTGTCACTGGGGCCTTCGGTGGGGCTCCCCATGGGGCAACGAAACGTGTGAGGGGTGCGCCGAAATGGGGCGGGGCCGCCATGCGAACTTTGCCACTGGGGCCTTCGGTGGGGCTCCCAAAGGGGCAGCGACACGTGTGAGGGGTGCGCCGAAATGGGGCGGGGCCGCCATGCGAACTTTGCCACTGGGGCCTTCGGTGACGCTCCCTGTGGGGCCACGAAACGTGTGAGGGTGCGCCGAAGTAGAGCGACGCCGCCGTGCGAACTTTGACACTGGGGCCTTCGGTGGGGCTCCCTGTGGGGCACACGAAGCGTGTGAGGGGTGCGCCGAATTGGGGCGGGGCCGCCATGCGAACTTTGCCGCTGGGGCCTTCGGTGGAGCTCCCCATGGGGCCGCGAACCGTGTGAGGGTGCGCCGAAATGGGGCGGGGCCGCCATGCGAACTTTGCCGCTGGGGCCTTCGGTGGAGCTCCCTATGGGGCAACGAAACGTGTGAGGGGTGCGCCGAAATGGGGCGCGGCCGCCATGCGAACCTTGCCACGCTGTACTGGGTGGGTGAAACGCAGGGAGGAGGGGGCGAAGGGAGGAGGGGGAGGAGGAAGGAGGAGGAGAGGTGGGACGCGGGGCGCTCTCTCTTCAAAACGAGGACCCAACACCACAGGATGGCTGGGAAACATGATGGACCCACGAACCCGGAAAGGGATATAGACATGTGGAGCATGGACACGTTTTCATGATACCCAACTGGGCAACACCTCACGAAACATCCCACGAGACACCTCACGAAACAGCCCACGAGACACCTCACGAAACATTCCACGAGACACCTCACGAAACATTTCACGAGACACCCCGCGAAACATTCCACGAGACACCCCACGAAACATTCCACGACGACAGGCAACCACTCAACCAAGGCGGTGTGGTCGTGCTGGGGAGTGGTCGTGCTGGGGTGTGGTCGTGCTGGGGGGTGGTCGTGCTGGGGGGTGGTCGTGCTGGGGGGGTGGTCGTGCTGGGGGGTGGTCGTGCTGGGGCGTGGTCGTGCTGGGGCGTGGTCGTGCTGGGGCGTGGTCGTGCTGGGGCGTGGTCGTGCTGGGGTGTGGTCGTGCTGGGGTGTGGTCGTGCTGGGTCGTGCTGGGGGTGGTCGTGCTGGGGTGTGGTGCTGGGGTCGTGCTGGGGTGGTCGTGCTGGGGTGTGGTCGTGCTGGGGTGTGGTCGTGCTGGGGCGTGGTCGTGCTGGGGTGGGGTCGTGCTGGGGTGGGGTCGTGCTGGGGTGGGTTCGTGCTGGGGTGCTCCGCACCCTGTGATTTATCGATCGGGTCGTGCGTGCGTGGGGTGTGGTCGTGCTGGGGTGTGGTCGTGCTGGGGGTGGTCGTGCTGGGGTGTGGTCGTGCTGGGGCGTGGTCGTGCTGGGGTGTGGTCGTGCTGGGGTGTGGTCGTGCTGAGGTGTCCCGCACCCTGTGATTTATCGATCGGGATTTCAAAAACAAGCGTTTCGCCTGAGACATCCTCAAATCTTAATCCGCCGGCCTCCTTCGACCTCGATATTTATCAGGGAAAGAATCCGCCGGCCTCCTTCAAGTTGGGCACGGGGGACTACGTTTACATACAAAGAGAACCCTGGGCCTGAGCCCTTTCCGGGAAAAACAAGAAAGAGAGAGAGAGAGAGAGACCAAGGGAGGAGAGAGAGAGAGAGAGTCACTGACCGAAAGAGAGAGGGAGAGAAAGAGAAATATAGATAGAGAGAAAGAAAGAGAGAGAGAGAGAGACAAAGAACCTCTGGCGTCCGGGGCTTCATACTATTTGGGCAGCTTCCGTGCCCCCTTTGTGCATGTAGCCCAGACTGCTTCTCTCAGCGGGCTGCCCCAGGACGCCGTCCATTGGCGCGCCTGCAGCCGCGCTCGACGGCTGGGCAACTCTTGTCAACACCTGGACGGAAATTGATGTTCTGGACGAGTGGCGCACGGATCAGAGCTTGCTCCTCGCTGCGGGGTGCCCCACAACGCCATCAGCAAGCGTACCTGCTACCACGTTCGAAAGCAGGAGCTCTGTTGGGGTCACCACGGGGTTGATACCGACGCACTGGGTCATAAAAATGACAGTAAGCTGCTCAACTGGGTCACAATAGAATCGAGTTCCAGCTAATCCTCCCCATCCAAAGGTACCCGCGCTGACGTTCTTACCAGCTTTCACAGCATCAAGAACAACAGAGACGCCCAATCCAAAGCCAACACCTGGTGCAGAACTCTCGGAATAGCCAGATAGGGACATTGACAGCATGTCGTTACCATCCGGCAGATGGTTAGATATCATCCACTCCACTGTACTACGTGACAGTATACGGTTTCCATTCGGTGCGACCCCGCCATTGAGCATGCACTGCGCAAAGCTGAAATTCGCCAGCCCTGTGGGCCAGGGGCGTACTAGAACATCTGGTAAGAGTTCAACAGATGCGTATGTTACCTAAATGGGCGCACAGAGGCCCCATTGGGGGTCTCTGGAGGATACTCCGAATTGCATGATGATCGTGGGGGGCGACGATCCTTCCGACGGAGCGTCCCCATCCCCCCCCCCACACCGCCTCTCAACGCGCGTCCAAAACCGGAGCTTCAAGACTGCCATCCCACCTCCACCCACCCCCTCGACGGCACGCGCCCATCCCTCACACCCGACCCCAAGGGAGGGGCGATCCTTATGCCATCCAAAGGAAGTGTCCTGGCAAAGATCGGCGGCGAGCGAGGGGGGAAGTGAGACGGAGAAGGCCTTCTCAGAAGGCGGCGGGACTCCTCAGAAGCCATCGCGACTTCTAAGAAGTTCTCTGTGTCTTCGGAGAAGTCTCAGAAAACTTCGCAGGAGGCCGAGGAACTTCTGAGCCTTCTGAGAAGGCCTTCTCCTTCTCACGTCCCCCCTCCCTCTCCGCCGAAAAGACCCGACAAATCTCTGCCAGGGATGCTGGAACTCCCGGGCGCGGGCTCCAGGCCGCCGGCCCTCGGACAGCCCAATCACGCTCCAAGGCATCTCACCAGGGGCCCTCTGGGCCTCGTGAGGGGTTCTCTGGAGGCCGTGGGGGCTTCCTTGGAAATCCTGGAGGCACCTTGGGCCAGGGGTACTCTTAGCAACACCCGACAAGAAGTTTCAAGACGCCCCCAGGTGGGCCCCCAGCAGGACCCCCTCAAGGGCCTCAACAAACGAGAATCTGACATTTCCCGTACAAGTGTGAATGGTTTTCGCGCGATTGCATATTTCGGGTTTCCGACAGCCCACGACGGCCAAAGAGGTCCCCGAGATCCCATCAAGACGGCCCAAGAGGCCCCCAAGAGGAGCCCACAAGACAGCCCCTAGAGGGGAAAGGCGAACTCTCGGAGACCACCTGCAAATCCTCTAAAAGCCTCTCAGAGACCCCCAAGACGCCCCAAGATCATCAAGAGGCACATCAAGGACCCCTGAAGCCTCCGAAAGGGTCCCAAAAGGCCCATGAAGGCTCCAAGAGGCCCTGAATAAGCCTCCTAAGGACTTCCCGAAGGTCCCCAATAGACCTCCCAGAGATTCCCCGGAGGCATCTAACACTCCCATCGCCCACGACCCAGTATCGGATGGGTCGAAGGCCACTACATAGCACCAAATCGAGCCTACGACAGCTCCACGACCTATGTTGGTTCACGGTAGCTGGCTCCTCTTACTCCTCCTGATGCTGCTTCTCCTTCTCCTGCTCCTCCTCGTCCTCCTCCTCCTCCTCCACCATAGCTTCCCAAAACCTCGAGGGGTGAACAATGAGTAGAGAATCAGAGCAGTACGGTCGCGAATGGCCCGACACGCCCTCCCTCCCTCCCTCCGTCCCTTCCTTCACCATCACCATCTTCATCCT